CTTCTGTCATGTACGCCAGACAACGAGATCGGTCACGGATGATACCTCTGCAAGAGTTCAATGTCCTGTCCACAGAGACAACAACCTGTGTATTAACAAACTGTTGTAATCCCAACAAGTTTACAGATTGTTGCCTCCGGGCACATTCAACAAGAAGTGAGCCAGAACGAAGACGTGTGACGTTTGCTACCTCTCCACAGACACCTTTGATGCCCATCGATATAGCAAAGTGGTTCAATTTTAATGGACTTCCATCTGCTGTTTCAATAACCAAGAATCTTGGCCATGAATCCACTATCGCTGAAGAGACTTCATCATCAGATGGTGTCGAAAGATGTCGACGTTTATTCGTTTTTTGAACCAGGGGAAATAGAATGATTTTCAGCAACCCTGATCTCCACCCACCATCGAGTGTCAACAAGGACGATCCTGCAGTGGAAACCAAACTGCACGACCAGAGCTACGGGGATGCTATACTCCAGAAATACAGACATAAATAGCTAAGAAATCAAAAAGAAGAAGTGTCAGGCTGGTTCGGCCCATGACATTCTTCTTAAGAAACTCAGAATTTAGAGGTCTATATCACCAGATTGGCCCATGTGCCACCGCCTTCTGGCATAGGACTCTCTAGGCAAAATGTAAATTTGCATTGATAACGTTGTCACGGTCTTTAACCAATAATATTATGTCATGATGAATCCAAATAAACGTTTTCCATGACCAGCCGATTGATAGAACCGGGCCAGTTCTACCACCCATCTAGGTGAAGTAAGGGGCGAAGTGGTGTGTTGGGCAAAAAAGAACACGGTTCCAGGCTCCCAGTGCCCTCAACCACCAGAATCCCGTCCTCCACCGACAAAGGGGCGAAACGCACGACAAACAGGTTGGTGGACCAAATATACCCCCGGGTCCACACGGCGGTCGAAGAGCTCTTAGCGTTACCCAGCACCCACCACGAGGAGGTGGCTCTTCACGGGTGCCAGTGATTGTGTGAGAGAGTGAGTAGGTGAGTGAGTGGGTTTTACGCCGCTTTTAGCAATAGTCACCTCAATATCATCGCGGGAGTAACCCGGAATGAGGTTTACATATCGTACCTATGTGGAGAAACAAACCACAGCGACGAGCGAACGCTTTAGTCATGAGGCTGCTCATGAATGTATGATTCTGCAGATAACAAACTGCTGTATCCAAGCCTAAGGCTACAGTGGTACAGCCTCGATATTAAATCCATGTTATATAGCTCTGAACTCGTCAAACAAAAGTGTTCTTAAAAGTACAATTCTGATTAAACACAGGATTTTAACGAGCAAGAATACATCATATACATTGTTGCACTCCCAAAGTCACTGATGTATTGCTATACCAATAAGTTAAAGGTAAAACAATAATTGTGATAATGATAAAAAGATGTACACCAAATTGGGACATTTTATTTGATATTTCATATTACCGCCACCAGCACCTACGGTAACTGCAGAATAAGTATTTTCAATCCCCAAATGTATTTATATATATGCATGTGTAAAATGTATGTTTATGTAGATAGCATTCAAGTTAAAATATAGCATTCAAGTTAAAAGACATGAAAGAAGTAAGAATGAAAGAATGCTTGAAAGTTTGGAGAACCTATGTGTAGGAGAATGTCCGAAAACTCGCGATTAGTTTCACGTGCGAAAGTAATTGCGAGTTTGAGGACTTTCTCCTACTTAAAACAAAGTTCGTGCGCATCTAATGTCTGTGTTACTATCAAATGCTTGCCGTGGTCTGGAAACGTGTGTACACCTCGCCTGAACGCAGCTTAACACGAACAAAACTATGGGAGTGTTAATCGCTTGTAAATTGAAAATGGCACGTGCATCTTGCGATGATCTGATTGAGATACGGACATTTTTATTACGCAAATTATTTTTTCTCAAAATTTAGAAGTTGTAATCAATTCCGACTTTGAAGATTTACTTAATACCACTATTTCAGAACCAAAAGACACCCCACGTTTTGATTTAATCCTCTGGTTCAAATCTGAATCTGAATACGGAGACAGTCTGCCCAGGTATTACTTTCATCATTTATTAGGACATTATGTTCCTCTTGAAATAATTGGATTTTAAAGAAATAATTTATCCTGATTTATGACCATGTGGACTTAACTAATGTTTCATTGAAATATTTCTATTATAGAGCTGCAAAGACTTTTCTACTGTCCGTCCATATTGTTTTTTCCCATTGACTATTTGTTTGAAGCAAGTCAGGCTATTGAAGAAAGCTTATATAATAATGAATTATCTAACAAACGTAAACAATCTGGGCCCTTCTACAGAAGCAACTGCAGCCATTGGTTCCGGAAATAGTTACTGCTGAAAATAGATCCCGTTTTGCCAAACCGTTGACAGATTCTAAGTAAGTTATGTAATTCATGTTATTCTACAGATACTGAAAACAAAAGAATGTGGGCTGTGAGACTCTATCAGGTATGGGTAGACGAGAGGAAAGCAAGAGAAGGTCCTAGTGGTTTTGACTTAAATTCAAACATTTTGGAATTAGCAGTGAATGAAGGTGAATTGAACAAAACATTAATGTATTTTTTTGACGGAGGTCAGGAATCGGAAGGGTCAAGAATATCGGGGCAATACACTGTATGAGGTTATTGCCTCACTTCAATACTTTTCGCCGGAATGGAATTCAAATAAACTTTTACGAATCTCCCTTATTCTCCGGACTTAGAACTGTTTTGGACGCCAAAATGAAATCTCTAGCACGACAGGGAATTGGGATTGATAAGAGACAGGCTGCTGTGATAAGTGTTTGCGTTTAACAACCAACTGAATGAGGAATTGTTGAAAACGGTTAGATCCCATTTTCAACCAACCAAAAGCTGGTTACTTAATGACGTCATGCTGTCTCCATCTGCTGTATTTCTGCGATCAGTTTTGGTAACATGAGAACGTTGCATACTATGGATAGGCACCGCAGGCTGATTTTTTCTAATGCTGTTAAAATTATTTTGTTTATGCAGTCTAGTCCCAGTTACTGTTCTGATGGCAGAATTGAAGACTATATGTCAAAGAATATCATAATAATGTTGTAGGAGCCCTTAATATATGTCCCAAAAACCGAGCCAAATTGACATTTCCCAAGTCATTTACGTCCATTCATGTGGAAATAAAAATATTCAATGTATGTATGTAATGACTTTATAGGGTTTATGTACAAGTATCATTCATATATTCCTGAAATTATGAAATCATTACATCAATAATTACTATGACTTCAACCAACTCTTTGCAGTAAGGGGGGGCTCCCGAGAAACACAACAACACACAAAACTTGTAAATAAATATAATTTAATGACATATATTCAGACTGGAAAACACTTTTACGACAAAGAAGACTATGTGAGTTTTATCCATAGCCATCATAACAATAACAAAGAGGAAAATTGTTTATTAGTAGCACTAATAAGCCAAGAATAGAAACATATCCTCTCTTAGTATTTTCACATTTCCTCAGCTACTCTCAGACAGGAGTCTGTAAAGCTCTCAACAAAACTACAAACTATAGATTGTTAATCACATATATCTCTGTACATCAATGGGGTTTTAAAAATAAAAACATACAACTTAACATCAGCATCAATCATCACTTACTTTCTTGGTTTTGAGGCTGAAGTTTTAGTGAGTAGCAGAATCCCAAAAAAATCAACAATGCTCTACTAACTATAGGTTTTTCATCAGGCTTGTCTCTGTAAATCAATGAGGTTTTGAAAAAACAAAACATACAACTTAATATCAGCATCAATTATCATTTCCATGATTTAGAGGCTGAAGTGTCAGTGACTAGCAGACTCCCAAATATCAACAAAGCTACAAACTATACATTTTACATCACATTTACCTCTGTACATCAATGAGGGTTTTAAAGAAGCAAAACACAACTTAATATCAGCATCAATTATCACTTCCATGATTAAGAAGCTGAATTGAAGTGTCAGTGACTAGCAGACTCCCAAATATCAACAAAGCTACAAACTATACATTTTACATCACATTTACCCCTGTACATCAACAAGGTTTTAAAGAAGCAAAATATATGTTTAACAACAGAACACTATCAGTTTTCAGCTTAATCTTTGTCTTCTGTTTCAGGCTGCCATTATTGGAAACAGGAGCATACCTGAAATATAGAGGAAGAACAACCATAAAACAATGAACTCAATTTCTTCTTTACTATTTCAGACGTAATTTATAACCTCAGAAGTTTGTTTTGCCACAGCAGGTCATGTATATCATGGTATGTCATAGAAATGAGGGTGGAACGACAGCTTGTATTCCATTTAAAACTTTGGTTTTCATATATTTTTTAAGACATACATTCAAAGTATTCCTGTTGGTGTCCAGTCGGCAGTACATGGCGAGATGTGAATGTCGGGATCATCTGGAAGAAGAAAGTTATTATGCTTGACTCATCAACTTGTAAAATGAATCGACCACAGCAGATGTTTACTTTTTCATTACAATAGGAGCCTACAAGGTTTATCCAATTCAAAATTAAAGTCAAATCTTCATTAAAAACATAACACTAACAATAACGACAGTGATAGTTGAATTTCGACATAAAATGTTTACAAAATTCTTTTGATGTTCAGAGTGAGTAAACTATTTCTTAAGCAAAGGTAGGTCAGTTATATCACAGTGTAGGTCAACCTAGGAAGAAGCCTGCATGGATGTCAGAACTACATTACCATGAATATTCCATTGTTGTTTCCATGGTTGGTCTCGGCATCACATTTTTTGTTATCGTTGTTTCCATGGTTGGTCTCCACATCACATTTTTTGTTGTCGTTGTTTCCATGGTCGCTCTCCGCATCACATTTTTTGTTATCGTTGTTTCCATGGTTAGTCTCCACATCACATTTTTTGTTGTCGTTGTTTCCATGGTTGGTCTCCGCATCACATTTTTTGTTATCGTTGTTTCCATGGTTGGTCTCCGCATCACATTTTTTGTTATTGTTGTTTCCATGGTTGCTCCCACATCACATTTTTGGTTATCGTTGTTTCCATGGTTGATCTCCGCATCACATTTTTTGTTATTGTTGTTTCCATGGTTGCTCCCACATCACATTTTTTGTTATCGTTGTTTCCATGGTTTGTCTCCGCATCACATGTTTTTTTGTTGTCGTTGTTTCCATGGTTGGTCTCCGCATCACATTTTTTGTTATTGTTGTTTCCATGGTTGGTCTCCGCATCACATTTATTGTTATTGTTGTTTCCATGGTTGGTCTCCGCATCACATTTTTTGTTATCGTTGTTTCCATGGTTGGTCTCCGCATCACATATTGTTGTTATCGTTGTTTCCATGGTTGGTCTCTGCATCACATTTTTTGTTATTGTTGTTTCCATGGTTGGTCTCTGCATCACATTTTTTGTTATTGTTGTTTCCATGGTTAGTCTCCGCATCACATTTTTTGTTGTCGTTGTTTCCATGGTTGGTCTCCGCATCACATTTTTTGTTATCGTTGTTTCCATGGTTGGTCTCCGCATCACATTTGTTGTTATTGTTGTTTCCATGGTTGCTCCCACATCACATTTTTGGTTTTTGTTGTTTCCATGGTTGCTCTCGGCATCACATTTTTTATTATCGTTGTTTCCATGGTTGGTCTCCGCATCACATTTTTTTGTTATCGTTGTTTCCATGGTTGGTCTCCGCATCACATTTTCTGTTATTGTTGTTTCCATGGTTGTTCCCACATCACATTTTTTTGTTATCGTTGTTTCCATGGTTGCTCTCGGACTCACATGTTTTGTTGTTGTTGTTTCCATGGTTGCTCTTGGCATCACATTTTTTGTTATCGTTGTTTCCATGGTTGGTCTCCGCATCACATTTTTTGTTATCGTTGTTTCCATGGTTGGTCTCCGCATCACATTTTTTGTTATTTTTGTTTCCTTGGTTGCTCCCACATCACATTTTTTGTTATCGTTGTTTCCATGGTTGGTCTCCGCATCACATTTTTTGTTATTGTTGTTTCCATGGTTGCTCTCCACATCACATTTTTTGTTGTCGTTGTTTCCATGGTTGGTCTCCGCATCACATTTTTTGTTATCGTTGTTTCCATGGTTGGTCTCCGCATCACATTTTTTGTTATCATCTGGAGGATAAAAATATGGGAAAAAACAATATGGACGGACAGTAGAAAAGTCTTTGCAGCTCTATAATAGAAATATTTCAATGAAACATTAGTTAAGTCCACATGGTCATAAATCAGGATAAATTATTTCTTTAAAATCCAATTATTTCAAGAGGAACATAATGTCCTAATAAATGATGAAAGTAATACCTGGGCAGACTGTCTCCGTATTCATCTATTCGGAATCATGACTGGGTGAGGTTTCAACTGTTGAAATAGTAGAATATTATTAGTTACAAGTAGTATACAACACTTTGTTATAAAAAATGACTGTGTAAAGTTTACAGAACATTGTACTCAATTAACCAAATTTGATATGAAAAATATATTGTGAATCTGTTTTTATTGATACAACATCATTCATATGGATGACAATTACACTTTCAAAGTATGCAGTGTAGAACTGAAATGGAAGACAACCATTTATGATATTGGAAGTATCCGACACAAAACTTACCAACAATACAACAAATGAAAAAACCTGTTTATCTATTCTACAAACTGAATTGTTAGTGAGAAACTGGTTAGTAATCAACCCTATTTACACCCATGCAAACTTTTGCACAGTATGTTTGCCAATATTTCTCAGGTACAGAATTTTCTTACATATTTCACAGAACATTTTGTCATGTTTTTAAAGGAAATGGTCTCCTCAAATCACACAGAGAAATAGTGGCATTAAAGAGACACTATACTGCTCAGTCCATTTTCAGTATAGCTGTAGTAGTGGACTACCTGCATGCATCTGTAAATATTCAACAGTCTATATCATCAGAGACCAGGATCAGGTTCAAGAAAGTGGAATGAAACAACCTTTATGTTTGTTTTATGGACACATAATTTCATACAGCATGGTCTTCCTTTAAATGCATGCTACAGAAATATGTTGATAGGTTTTGATTGGATTCATGTTAATAAATCACATGTAGATGATGCAAATCAAAGTGTAAAAGTTCATGTAACATTCCAATTCCAACGTTGAGAGGTGCATTCCAACTTGAGGCTCACCAACAAGTTTCAAATCCCCTTTCTCAAAGTCATCCTGGAGCGTGTACGTGTACACCACTTCAGCATTGTCATAGATGATGTTGTACCATTCTGGGAAACCCCTGACTGTATCTATTACTCGTCCGCTGTATGTCACTTGTTCTCCATCTTCTTCAAAGGTATGAAGCACTTTCTTTCCAACCAACAAGGGACTGCCTTTTCTAATTACATCAGCTTCTCTTCTTGTGGAGAAAGTGGAGCCTATTAATGTAATTAGATTCATCTGCTGCCCTCTGCAAGGCTGCGAAGGTCATTTGTAGGATGTCTGTGACCTTGTCATCGTATCTACTTTCTTCCATTAGAGATTTCAATACAGCATCTCCCCATTTCTGCTTTCTTTTTGTTCTGCAAGTGCTTGCACCTTCCTCCAATTCATCTCTATCTTTCTCCCTGCATGCATACTCAGGGAATGGCATGTGTTTTCCTTGAAGAAATGGTATGGCATCCTTGGCTGCTGCTTCTAAGAATCTTAGGAGATTCAGGTAGTGCTCATTCATGTCCAAGATATGGCATTTGGACTCGATGATCCTCCAGAGAGGAGAAGTAATAAACTTCTCAATCAGTCCAAGAGATTTGGCTGCTGCAATGTTCTCTGTCACCTTGTCATCATCCAAAACTGACTGAAGAAGACGATTTCTGTCCTTGATCGTGTTTTCCAAGAAATCCTTGATTTCATCTCTATAGAAATAAATGTTTCCTGCATTCTGGAACAGCACATTAAATCGGTTTCCATGGAAGGGTTTTAAATCAAGATTTTCACCAAGCTTGTCAAAAATGTAGTCACGTAATAGGCTGTATGCCCCACTCTTTGCTTCCTCACTTCTTGCAAGTGCTTTGCATGAGGTCCTGATGAACTTTACAGAACCACTTTCTTCTGGTTTTGTCTTATTCACACCTGTTGACAGTTCTTCACATGCTGTTTCATATTTCTTCAAGACCTGAAGTTGATTAACAGGTGGAGTCCGCAAAAAAGTTGTTGATTTTAGAACAACTTGATTTTTCTTCATCTGACATTTCCTCCCATGTTTCCACTAATTCTGGCATTATTTCTTTTCTATATCCTTCTAAAAGGTCATTGAAGCACTTCTGAGTGGCAGCTTGATCCGACATTGTGGCCGTTATCTTTGATAGAATTTTCTTTCCTGCTTCTGTGCCAGACTCAGTGGTTTCCTCAACCAAGGATATATCTGAAAGAATCTCCTTCAGGGTATCTAATGTGGATGCAGATGATTTGTTGGCCATTTCCCGCAATCCAAGAACATATGTGTATCCACACTCATCACTCACATGGAAGCCCTCAACAGTGGTACCACTCTCTGGAGTTTCATCACTTTGCAAGCATAAATTGTCTCTAGAAGCAAGCTGCTCAGCTGCCTGAATATGTGAAAGTCTCCTTTTGTTCATCTCTCGAACAATAGCTTCACTTGGTAGTCGGTCAATTGATGTTTTGCCACATAATTCTGCCACTTCCTTTATGACCTTTGGGTCTTTCTCTGAAGCTACAGTGTGACTGAGTAGTCCATAAACACACAACTCTGCTTCAGTTTTGTAGCTCTTATTCTGCTGGTCATATAAGGACAAACTTGAGCTCTGGTCATCTTTCAGCAAAGTTTCCACATACTCTAAATTGCTTTCAAGCATCTCTTGCTTCTTTTTTGACTTTTCTACAGTTTCATCTTTCTCCTTCAGTTGTTTAGTGAGGTTAGTAACAGTTGAACAAGAATCTTTAAGAGCCTGTTCATGGATAAGCTTTTCCTTTTTGCTCCAATTCATATATTTTCTGTTGTTCCTTGGTTTCCTTTTCCTTCTTTCCAGGTAATTTAGCCTTTGGCGTTGTTTTTGTTTTCCGTATTTTGGATTCCTTCCAGTAATCAATTCTTCTTTTCTTCAAAGTAACACTCTCTTGTAACTGTTTGACACGTCTCTTTTAAAAGCATACATGTATCAACTTGAGGTAGTGTTGTGGACTTTACAGGCTGCCTACTTTCAGTTCCCGTCTTAACTGGAGGTCTTGTATTTAATGAAGTCACTATTCCAAGGTTTGGTGCTCCTTGCCCAGCAACTGTTGGAAGGCTGAAGGCTTGTGATAGAAATATCTTTAAATATTTTCCACTCTTTTTATTTCTTTGTAACTGCAGTCTATGTACTTTGCTGCGAAATGCATTGAGATCACATGGGTTTCCAAGAAGATGCAGAATATCTGCCCAAGTTATATCAGAACATTTTGCCAGTTTAGAAACGCCTAGTGTTAAGCCATTCGTCACAACAATAGTCCTATCTATACGACTGTTTTTAATTGAATGTTCACTTAAAAACAGTTCCTCCATGTTCTCTTTAGTTACTGACAAGATCACCCGTGAAAACAGTTCCTGTGATATCTCCTGTAATCAGGGTCTGGGTACCCTTGGATGATGTGAGAGGTACATAAGTCTGCCTGGATGTCCTGGTTGGACCTGGTTCTTCCTGACTTTGACTGAAGACGAGCTGACTTGGAAGACATGGAGAGGGTGCCCTTGTCTTGGGCACAGGTACTTCTGAGAAATCTAAGGATTCCATCCTTGGTCTGATTTCACGTTTTGGGGAAATGACTCTAAAGTGGGTCTTTCTGGACTCGCATCTCCTGGTACAAACTGACCATATTCAGAATCCCCCTGTGATTCAATTAGTAATTCCTGTAATAGATATCTGGTTAGTTGAGTTACAAAATCTAAATCAATCTCACTTGCTTTTGTGATATTAGATAAAATGATATATAGTGGTTGCAGTGTTATAATATATCCTCGTGACAAATGACACTCTATACAAAATTGTAAGCATACATACAAGCAACAGTTCATGTCACAGGAGACATTCTACTCAAGAGTCTATGAAGCAAAGAGATGGAATTTCATAAGACAGGGTATAATGTTACGAGAGGGTGCTAGTATTATTCATCCAAAATATCTCAAACCACATCTCCATTATAATAATAGCTGCTTTAAGAAAATGTAAGACAACTACATGTTAAAGCATGATAGTTTGAGGTTGTTCTGATATTAAAGGCACACTCATGACATCAAACCGGATGATAAGTCATTGTACATAAGCAGGATAATGTTATTCTCGTTAACCTTTAACATTTTTGGGTGGATTATGATACCATAGTTACATTTTAAACTACATGATCACCTTTTCACCTCCTGGAGCCTTTCGAGTCTCTTTTTTCTTTTGTGCGACTTGTGCCTGCTGTTGCCTTTTGCGTCTCTTTGCACGGCTTCTGCTTGGCATAATAATGCTGTCCGATTCGGAACTGGAATCCATAGCTGCATTATACATTTGCATGTTATATTGGTGATAACGATTCTTGGGTGTTTTACATAAATTCATAGAAAGAGGTAACTTGACATTTTCTAAGAATTATTTTTTTACATTTCATATGTTGAGGAAATCTGAAAAATATTCAACATTGTCACTGAAGTATACCATCTTTTATCTACATTCCTACATTTGATAATGAGGTGGTTTCAGAAATTGCATATGAATGATGTTTGACATTTCACCAGTAATTGGTCTTTGGATTTAAAAGGAGGTTTAACAATCCTGCAACTTGATGCTGAAAAACTTGATGCTAAAAAAACTTGATGCTGAAAAACTTGATGCTGGGGACTTGAGATTGAAGTTGGCTGGCTGATT